TTGAACTCAGGTTGTCAGATTTGGCAGCAAGTGTTTTTATCTGTTGAACCATCTTTCCCGTCTCAACTTGAAGTCTTAATTACATGGATTTTAAGTATTTATTAAAAACAAACAAAAATACTCTGTGTGTGTGGTGTGTGTGTGTGTGTGTGTGTGTGTGTGTGTGTGTGTGTGTGTGTTTAACTTGGATTTTCTGTAAGTTAGCCTCCAGCTTGTGATCCTTTTGCTCAAGGGCTGGTATTTCAGGCAAGCAACATCACTTCTGACCCAGTGATGCTTTGAATAGTAGTATCTTTGTTTTTCATCTTTGTCCTTCATTTCTATTTGAAATATTAGGCAGATGGTTCAGAGTATCAATAGTATATTTCTCAGTATTAATTGATCTTGTGATTTTTTAAGAAAAGGCGCCTTTCCTGGAACTCACTTGGTAGTCCAGGCTGGCCTCGAACTCACAGAGATCCGCCTGCCTCTGCCTCCCAAGTGCTGGGATTAAAGGCGTGCGCCACCACCGCCCGGCAAGGTATTTGACCTTTTAGAGCCAAATAATCTCTTAATTCCAACCCTCAATTTAAAATGATAATCAGGTTTATAAGGTTGAATTAGCTGTCAAATTATTTATAGGTTAAGTGTAAGGTCATGAGTGCATCCTGTTTATGACCGTTCTTGGTTGTATTTAATATTGCAATTATTAAAATGCATGTTTCTTTGTACATCCATATGTTGAGGAAAAGATACAGTAGGTGTTACTCTCTGCCAATTTTGTGTATAAAAGAACCCCCCCCCCCTTTTTTTTTCTCTAGAGGGACCAAACATTTGACTTCGGTTGGCTATTTCTAGGCCTGAATCTTGACTTCTAGGCCTTGTAATATTAAATCACTTGCTTAGGGCCAATAATGTCCCTTTTATGAAAATTTGGTGATTCATAAAAGATGAAATACTGTGAAATCATTACTGTTGACTCAAGAAACATTCTTTAAGTAATACAGAATGTTTTCTGATTATCTTCTAATTCTGTTGCTTTTTGGCTTATCTGCTTAATTACCTGACTGTGTTAGGGAAATGTGAAGTTATTTAATTGTAAAAACTCATATTTTAGTTTTTTAAAGTAAGTTATATAGTTTTGAAATATTTGTTTTATTTATATGTATGTTTATGTTGTGAGCCTATGTGAGGATATGTATACCACATGTGTGCAAGAGCCCATGGAGGCCAGAAGAGGGTGTCAGATAACTCTGGATCTGGAGTTACAGGCATTTGTGAGCCACCTGATGTGGATGTTGGAACTGAATTAAGGTCCTGTGCTAGAGTAGTATGAACTCTGGGTCACTGAATCATCTCTCCAGCTTCTTCTAGCCTTTTTAGAAGATTGCAATCCCAGATTTGGGAGACAAGTATAGACGACCTCTTTTCGAGGCCAATCTAATTTACATAGCAAGTTTTAGGCCACCCGGGGCTATACAGTAAGACCCAGTCCAAAAAAAAAAAAAAAAGATGGTATGTGTGGTTTGGTGGTGGTGTCCTCAAGATTGCTGTGTAACTGAGGATGAACTTGAGTTTCTTACCTTCCTGTCTTCATCCTTCTGAGTGCTGGAAGTATAGGTATGTGCACTAAACTGGCTTTCACTAAACTGGCTTTGGATGTATTGGGTATAATGGTCTTTCCTGTAACCCCACTACTCAGAAGACTGAGTCAAGAGGACTGCCATGAGTTTGAGATGCCTGGGACACACACACACACACACACACACACACACACACACACACACACACACACACACAGGCACGCGGGCGCATTAGAAAAAACAGGACTCAAATTAACTCCATATATATGTATGTGTCCAAAGCCAGTTGTGTGTGTGTGTGTGTGTGTGTGTGTGTGTGTGTGTGTATTGAAATTTTTTAAATTGCGGTGTGGTGTTGCTATATTGAAATACAAAAGACAAGTATTTTCTGGCAAGAATTAAAGTTCTTTTGGGGCTGGAGAGATGGCTCAATATTTTAGAGTACTTAATTGCTTTTCTAGAGGAGGTTGCAGGTTTGGTTCCTATTATGTCTCAAAATCATCCATAATTCCAGTTCTAGGGGATCAGATGCCCTCTTCTGACCTCTATGGGCACTAGGCATTCATGTGGTCACATACTACATACATCAGGTTAAAATGTACATACACATAAAATTTAGAAATTAAGCCTTTTAATTGGTTTTATTGTTTCATTAAAATGAGATCAGCTTAGGAGTCATATAAAGGGCGTAGGAAGAATTGGATGGCACGGGCTGGAGAGATGGTTCAGTGGTTAAGGGCACTGGCTACTCTTCCTAAAGGTCCTGAGTTCAATTCCCAGCAACCACATGGTGGCTTACAGCCATCTGTAATGAGATCTGGCACCCTTTCTGGCCAGCAGGCATACATGCAGACAGAACACTGTATACATAATAAATAAATAAATCTTAAAAAAAAAAAAAAAGAATTTGGATGGCACTTTTCCTCCTTGGAAGTCTAATGAAATACATTCCAATTTTAATTCCTGAAATTAAGTGAATTAAAAAAAAAAAAAACTGGCCGGGCGGTGGTGGCGCACGCCTTTAATCCCAGCACTCGGGAGGCAGAGGCAGGCGGATCTTTGTGAGTTCGAGGCCAGCCTGGGCTACCAAGT